TCGTCATAAACAAGAGAATCCTTGTGAACCTTCACAGAATCCTAGGCTGGTCTTCAAATATATCTAAATAATCAAGATGGGGCCCCTATTGAATCTACTGTTAGTGAATCATGTTGGTTGATTCAGCAGAAGAAAATCCAGATGAATGTCCCTCGAGAGAATCCTTTAGGACTGCTCAGTCCTGTTCAATCCTGATGAGAAAATAAATGAATTAAATAGAGTTGACTGAAAATTGTTGAAAAAAGCCTTTGACATCCTCTCACGTGCAAGTGGGACTGGTGTGAATAATAAAATCGAAAAAAAAGTGGCCCCATCCCTATTGTGGGAGTTCGGTCAAGGAAGTATCAACATCTCTCTGTCACTGTAGCAAAGCTAAAAATAATTTCAGCTACATGTGAAGGAAATGTTTATCTTTTGTCTAAAGTTTAAACCGGTTCAACAACAATAACCCTTTCGTATTTGAGTATTTTGTTAGCTAGAAATAAAAACAATGATGTAACCTCAAAAATGATTAGGGGTGGCAATAAAACCCACCTCGATAGGGCCCCGCCCCGTGAAGGAGAAAAATTAAAAATAATTTTATTTCTTGACAATTCACCCGTTAAAAATTCATTTTGAATTTGTATTTTATTCTGTAATAATAACATAACTTGAAAATTTGAAAATGTTAAAAAAAAAAAATTTTAAAAATTAAACGGGGCAAAAAGTTGTCCCATCCCTATCGTGAGAGTTCGGTCAAGGAGGTATCAACCTCTCTCTGTCATTGTAGCAAAGCTGAAAATAAATTCATCTACATGTGAAGGAAATGTTTATCTTTTGTCTAAAGTTTAAACCGGTTCAACAACAAACCCTTTCATATTTGAGTATTTTGTTAGCTACAAATAAAAACAATGATGTAACCTCAAAAATGATTAGGGATGTCAATAAAACCCACCCCGACGGGGCCCCGTGAAGGAAAAAAAATTAAAAATAATTTTATTTCTAGACAATTCACCTATTAAAAATTCATTTTGAATTTGTATTTTATTCTCTAATAATAATATAACTTGAAACTTTGAAAATGTAAAAAAAAAAAAAAAAATTTAAAAAAAAAAGGTATCAACCTCTCCTTGTCACTGTAGCAAAGCTGAAAATAAATTCAGCTACATGTGAAGGAAACGTTTTCTTTTGTCTAAAGTTTAAACCGGTTCAACAACAATAACCCTTTCGTATTTGAGTATTTTGTTAGCTAGAAATAAAAACAATGATGTAACCTCAAAAATGATTAGGGATGGCAATAAAATCCACCTCGATGGGCCCCACCCCGTGAAGGAGAAAAATTAAAAATAATTTTATTTCTAAACAATTCACCCGTTCAAAATTCATTTTGAACTTGTATTTTATTTTCTAATAATAACATAACTTGAAACATTAAAAAATATATATATTAAACGGGGCAAAAAGTTACCCCATCCCCGACCAGCCGTGGCGGGGTGGGGTGGGGACGTCCCGCCTGAACACGCCCTGTTGCCATCACTAAAACTGATCTCATTTTACATGCTTAGAGAATCTACTGTTTAGGTCTTCATAAAGTCACATAAAACTTTTACTCACATAAACAGCCATTATGAACCTCGTTTGTCGGGGCGGATCCAATGGGGGCAATTGATTTGTATTAAAAATTATGGGCTAAAATTATAATGGCATTTTTTTTTCAATGTTAAAAATTATGGGTCCAATTGGGGCAATTAAACCCACAAGACCCTTAATGAGTCCGCCTGTTGTCATCAAATCCACTGTAACTAATATTGATGATTATGAGATTTATGGTTCAAACCATGCTAACCAGTTAGTGCAGTACTTAATTTGATCGCAATGAAGAAAATTTGCCTACACAAGAGAAAAGGTTTCTGATTCATCCAAACTAGTACATC